AAATTTCTTTTATATTGCTTTAAATATGTCGATAATGAATTAATTTACTTTACACGATATTTAGCACTCATTTTTTTACGATATATATTTTTACGATATGTAAATAATTGACAAATTTAATTATATCCTCGAATAATACAATTCGCAAATATTTATCTTTAATTTTAACTGGTATATTTATTCACTTATATTAAAACAAAATATAGGTATAATCCCTCACTTATAAAATAAATTACAAATTATATATTATATTATACCACACACACACACACATACAAAATATATTATAAGGGTATAATATATAAATTTGGGAGAGCCCAATGGATACACGTTAGTGGGAGGGCTTAGTAAAATAAGTGGAAGGTTTATCCTGAAGGAAAAACTAAGTACCCGAACAATGCTGTAAAAGCATTGTCACAAATCACAAATAATTCATATATAGAAAGAGCATTTAATATGTCGAGTGCATCGGTCCTTGTAAATAATTAGTTATGTTTTTTCGCGTAATATTCGATTTTCCCGCGAAAAACAATCCATCTTGAATCGATTAAAATTAAATCATATCAATCAAATAAAATTTGATCAATTGTCTGATAAAGGTAAAATAGAATCGTTTATATAACTAAAAATTAATCTATAGGTGATTAAACATATTCTACTAACATTCATAAAAAATTGTATAAAAGCAGTCAAATGCGAGAATATATACGAGAGTTTATAATTTACAGCATTCTTGCATTGATTTTGTGAAAATGCTGTAAATTCGCTATCTGTTTGAATCTCATATCATTCATTATGATTGTCTCATCTTTTGATACATTTCTGAGCGTAAGAGATTACATGTAGCAAGGATTACGGGCAGTACGAATACATGGGTTTTATACGAATAAATACGGTTTTGCGATTTACAGTTAGCTAGTAAAATTCGTTTCTTATAATTCCCTACATTCATACCATGCAAAACTCCGGATATTTGCGACACATGATCGAAACCATTTTCTGATTAAAGCAACTAATTTTTACAATATTTAATTTTTCCTAAATTTTGCAAATAATTTTAAATCGAAAAATTACACGAAAAATTATAATTGATATTTTATATAATAATGGGATGTATCTTTCGCAATCTAAACGAAACAAACGCGTGCATTTAACAAACCGTCAACGTAAACGAGCGCAAGAAAAATCTTTGCGCTTATCTGCTGGCGATAATAAACAACCAGCAATAAAAGGAGTTTTTCTCCTTTTCTACTTCTGGTTATAAGTCGAGCCAGAAGATAGCCAGAGCAATGATAGGTAGTTCCAAAAATATAAAAGTAAGCTATGCAAGATAAAAGATGGCCAGAAGAGATAATAAAAGATACATAAAATATTTTTAAAGACATATTTTTTCTTAATTTTTTAAATTATAAATATTTATACGTAATGATACTTAATTGAGAATACTCAGTGCATTTATAAATCAAAATTAAGACATACTTCCTAAATTTCGGGAGCGGATGATCCTGGAATTTCGCTAACTTAGCCAACAAGTAGAAGTAAAGAGTTATTAGAGCTATTAAAAATATATAAAGAGAATTAGATGCGTGCATCGAACAAACGTTCTTAATTATTTAATTACTTAATTTAATCGTAAATAAATATTGTAAAATATTTGCCGGCGATAATAAGTAACCGGCAATAGAAAAAAGGTTTCTTTTTAAAACTGATTAAAATTCAAGGCAGAATAGCTAGAAGCAAGGAAAAATAGATTCAATACTGACCTGAAAAATGGATATAAAAGGTTACTTAACGAACCTTTGAGAATATATAAGAATATTTATGTAGATTTATAATGTAAATTTATGAAACTTGATAAGGATAACTTGAAAAGGATAATTTGCGTGCGCGTTCGCACATGGTTGTTAATAAGGAATTTCAGAGGAAAAAAGTAAACAGTGTTAAATTTTTGTATTCTTTTCTTTATAATTGGTTATAGTTGATAAATTATAATTGTTCTCATTAAAAAAAAATGTTTATTAATTCATAAATATTCAAAATGCATAATACATATGTACAATTTTTAAACTTATTAGATATATATATGTGTAAAAAATAAAATTTTGATTTTTAATCTGTTAAAAATATAACAGTTACAACTACTAGCACCGTTCCATTAAATGAACACCGCACATGTGAAACTATTTAGGATTTAATATCATGGAGGTATACCACGGCAAAAACTTTCAAGCACATAGCGATTCTCTCGACGCTTTGCCTTCATCCCTCGAATGCGAAACAAAACATCGGTTTAATCGCGCCGTGTTCGTGACCAGACCGCAATTCGTTGCCACTATTCTCTTTTAGGGTAAACACAGGGTCAGTTTGTTTCGTAAGCAGCATTCGGTATGCATGCGCGAACCTTCGCCAATTTACTATCCGTTTCTATTTGAGGTAGCCGTCAGAGCGCGAACTGCGCCAGAACGATTAATGGAACTTTCATTATTGGAAACGAGATTTCTTTTTTGTCTGCATACAGAATATATCTGCATACAGAAATCAATTACGATAAATTTTGACACGCAGGCTTTATTCTCCGTGTAAATCTGTGTTTCAAAAGTGTCAAACGGATGTCAAATCTAACACTTGTCAAATCTAACCCTTGAATATGAGAATAATCTTCTCTCTCGTTCTCTCTCGTATCTAATCTCTCTCGTATATGAGAATAATCTTAAAATATTTTAGCAATAAAAAGATATGTGTATGTGAAATTGACAGGATTATAAAAGTTCTGCGAAAATTTTTTCTTGAGAAATGCATTTATACATATACATAGCAAGAAATATCTGACGAGAGAAATCACGTATGTCAAAATGACATCGTTCAATTTCTGGAAATCAAAAATATTACTAGACATGCAGATACTTCATATTTTTCTATTTTTATTTTTTACCCACTGCAAAATATTTAAAAATTCAAAAACTCAAGAAATCTATACAGTAAAATTTTAATTATTTATGTTCTATATTTTTTATCTTCCCCCAAATTCCTATATAATATTTTTACATACATTATCGCGTTTTTATGTTACGTTATTGTATTTTTTTAACAAATTTTATTGACGCAACTGTGTGTAATCAAAGGACGAAGCACGCGCGAGAACCGATCGACATTATTAAATTTCAAAGCGCAACCTGAACGAAAAGTATTTCGTATGCGCTGGAAGCATTGCAAATTGTTGGAACGCGTATGGTAGTAGGTTGCACTGTCAGAAGATGTTCAAAGCTGTTTCGAAGCGAGGCATCTGACAGCGGTTTCGATTTATCGTCGGAAGACCATGTGACATTGTGGCACGACAGGGAATTTGCCTCTATAGAGATCAGAAATAGTTTGAGAGGGGTTTAATAATATGCCCAAAAGTTTAAAAGTAATCATAGATTCAAGATTGATTAAACTGTTCTATCAAAAACCTCTCAAGAAGTGTGATATAAACTATTAGTGCTCTTCAATGCGACCTAATTTCGTATCTTTCCCTTATGTCTTACATTATGCAAATCCGCACGAGAGATTTCCTTATATTGCATATTACATGGCATTTTCGTCAAAGTAATAGTGCGTAAATTTGTCGCATATCTTATCATACGCCTCGCGCGAGCACATTACATGCCTCGTACACAATCGCAAAACTATTTTTCAAGAATTATAACAGCAGATGTGCGAAAAAATGAGTTCCCTTTTCTTGTTTTTATCGGGAAAACTTTCTAATTAAGTCCGTTTGAGATTTCATTTCAATGATTTCTCAATCGCTAATTACCGAAAGAGTGATGTAATTTAGGCAACGATGTAGAAAAGCTTGATCCGCCGACGAATACATATCCCATGTATAATTAAATGCTCAACCTATATATCTCGCAAATTTCGTCAGCAGAGAAAGAAAAAATTCTACTGAAATTACTCTCCCTCTTTCCTTCTCTCCCTCTCTCTCTCTTTTGTATAAATTTAACGTCGTTCACGTAATGACGTAAAACTGGTGACGTCCTAGGCGCCATCAGCCAGCTACATTCCACAATTCTTTGGCAGGTGATGCGCGTACCATAAATACATTCTAAAGCGCTTAAGCGATGCGAGAAGATCGGGACGGATAGGAAATTGTTACTTATAGAACTATAAATTTAAAGCTGAAAGTTTCAAGAATCTTAAATATAGCATTTTAGTGGCAAAATTTAAGAAATTTAATTTTCACTTTTTCGTCTATTTTTGTAATTTGATAAAGAAATTATATAAAGATTATATAAATTATATAAAGAAATTATATAATAATAATATCATGTCTTTGCGTCACTAATAAAATGGAAAATATAGTAATTGTATAATATATTTAATGGGATACAAAATAGTTATATAAACTTTTATACTTTATTCATAATAAAAGTATTTTCTACAAGAGATCTTTCTTGAATAGAATAAATGCAGTAAAAAACTTGATAATTATTGAGATCTTAAAGTTTATATATATTTTATTTTAAATGATTATTTTAATATCATTTACTAGCGAGAAATAATAGTTTTGAATAATCAATATTTTCAATATTCGCTGAAAAAAAGCAATTTACACGGAATAACGTTAAGCTGGTAATTCGTTGATTTATAGAATAAGTTAGATTGTATGCTGTTTCAATAATTTCTCCCTACTGGGAAGACAGACAGGATTTAATACAATCCCATGGATCATACTGTGCACATGTATTGGTAATCAGACACGGAAATCAATTGTGAATAAGAACAGTAACAATGTACACAAGTGCAAGATTAAGCGAATAGAAACTTGGGAAGTTATTTTTTATATTAATTTACTTTTCGATTACATACTTCTTTCTCACATATATCATTTCTCTTTTTCCGATTTATTTAAATATAAAAAAGCAATTTTTCTAATTATATAATTTCTATTATTATTAAAATAAATATTTTATTACTAAATGCTCAGTGACAACGTTTACTTTACTAATAAGCTAACTCACCTTAGTATCATTGTAAATAAGTCGAAGACGGAAGCGCTTCAACACATTCGATTCGTTGACTCGCTCGACCGCTAATTTCGCTGCTTGAAGCTCATAGGATCCTTCCGGTCTCGTTTTCGCTCCGTATGTCATCTCGAAGAGACCCAGGATGGTTATATTCGTCTTCTCTATCGGTCTTATACTCGGCTCTGTTACATCGATCGCCATCCTTCCATCGAAAGCGTTCTTATCCTTCTTCGTCACGTTCTCGAAGTCGCTGTATGTGACATTTGGAGTCGTCGCGAGTTTTTCGGTGCTCGATTTGACACCAGTCGACGACATATCGAGCAGCCAGGACTCGTCGAAAGTATCGTTTCGTTTCTCATTCCTCTCGATCATCTCCTCGCCTTTATTATTCTCTTCGTCCAGTCCGACGTCAGAACCATCGTCCGTTTTGCGATGACGATGAAGCACGTCTCTGCTGGGACTTTTCGGTAAGTCGAGTATAGTACTCGGATATGTGGATATTTCTTCAAATATGTCCTTGCGCGGACCAAAGTGTCGCCTGTCAAACTTTTCAACCTGCGACGGTTCAGACCGCGACTTATGATTGATTTTTACAGGGAATTTCTGAGAACCCTTGAAACCTGTGAAAGACGCTTCGCTGTCAACGACGTCGATATTGGTATTATTGTCGTTGACAGATATCGTTGATACGTCGACTTGTGCGAAATAACCTTTATTTTTCCGATTCAATTCCTTCTTTCTACCATATTTTTTCGTTCTAAATACCGATACATTATCGTTAACGCTCGATTCCGAGCACGCACTATCGCGACAATCCACGGTCGAAATTTCTGTTCCATCGGTATTCAAGTTGATCTCGGTTTGATTCTCGGTTTCCGAAATTCCGTCCATCTCGACTTGGTCCTCGATGGAAGCGGTGCTGACAAAGTTATTGGCAACTGTATTAATCGCGATTGTACCGACGTATGAAGTGTACGAGTTTGTAGACTCATTAGCAACGTTGAAGTTGTCCTCGCTCTCACTGAAGAGGTAATCAACCGTGCTTTCGGATCTACTTGTACCGCGGCTTCGATTATCAAGAGCGTGGATATTGCGGCCATCCAAATGAGTTTGCTTCATGTCCTCGAAATCGACAGTCTTACGATTGTTTCGACCCATTCCCGAATCGTCGCCGCGTCGATTTGCCGCAACGTCAATATCGCGCTCACTCGGTCGACTTGAAGTCTCACTCTCGCCCGAGTCTCTCTCTCGTTGAGATGTAAAATCGCTCATGCGATCACTCGCGCGATTAATGAGCGTTTCGGCGAATAAATTACCGGTGTTTAGATCCGTTCGTTTCACTTCATCGAGATCGACTTCATTACGATTTCGTCGACTTCTCATCGGTATTGCCAGATGATTGATATTTGAAGCCTCGCGCAAATGCAACTGATCGATCGGAGCCTCGATTAATGTACCCTCATTGCGATCGTGAACAGAGCTCTCGAGTAAATTATCGGCACTTTGACGAGGTCCATCTAAAATCGCCAAACTTGCATCATTATCGCTATCTTGATCGTCCTGAAATTGCACTTCGCTCACAACCTCATTTGCCGAGAAGTAAGGAGTAGCTTGGAGCGTCGGCATGCTACATTGCTTCCTGATCAGATTATCTAACCAATTCTTCGCATTATTTTCACTTTGTCTCATATTTTTTAAATTAATTTCGCTGCTAACTTGCTCATTTTCCGCAGGATCGTTAAATCGATCATCATATTTCCGTTTCAGATAATTAGTCGTAGGTTCGGAATGCACTTGATCACCGCGTTGATCATTATGAATAATGTTCACAAAAGTACCATCGTCGATATCGTGTGTTTGTTTTGTCACTGCCGGATCAGATCTTTCGCGATTGAGTTGGATTTTAAACAAATCACTGAGATGATGATCATCACCGCCCACATCGCTAGTACTTTGACTAATCATATTCGAAACTTCTTTCTCGCGTTGCATCCATTCCGATACCACTCTGGGAACATCGAGATTCTTCTGCTCCATGTATCTTCTTACCTCAACGTGGCAGGGAAGCGGGTTCGGGTCACGGCTCTGGGATCTAGTCTTTTCGTCGCACGATAAAACTGTGCGAAGAAAGGTAAGACCGAGAAGGAGGAGGGTCAGGCAATGGCGTGCGTGGAGGGCTCCGGAGGAAGAGAACAACAGGAGGAGACGAGAGAAATGCCGCTGCGTGTGGACGCGCGTCATAATCAGTCGTCGATTTTGTGACGACTCGAGGCGCTCTTCTGGTTTCTTCTCATCTGTAAAAAAAAGATTTTGCCATGAGCTAAATCTGAATTGTAAAATTTGTAGATGTTAAATTAATACATATATAAAATTAGTGATTATATGTACGTCATGTATTACATAAATTATAAATAATTGAAATGAAGAAAAACAGTTTTTCACGCGAAAATTATATTAATCGAGTTAACTATAAGTTTCAATTAATGCAATCATGATATTTAATAATAAAATTTAATAACAAAAATTACCTCTTTCTAAATGTTATTAAACGTGACATTTTACACGACAAAAATCTCTCGGAAATGCACTTATGATATCGACATCAAAATTCGATAAATTTTATTATATTCCTTTTAATCTGTGACCGAAAAAGTACTTACAAATCAATCAAATAACTTGCCGTATAGATAACTAACTTGCAAAGCTATTTGAGTTTTTTCCTATTGATAGGTGAAAAGTTTATTTACTTGTGTTATATGTTAAATACTTTTCTCTTTTCAGCATCAGAAGTTTTTCATACATCTCGAGCAAAGGAGAGTTTTTTTCATCGATTTCGCGTAAAAGCGGTTTACATTTAATTTGCATTCAGGAACTCATTGAAGACTTGTTTTTGCAAAAAGTTGAATGCATGTGTCGCCTCCCCTCCTCTAATTAATTATAACCTACAACTATTGTCGAGCTGTAGGAATCGTAACGAAGCTTGCGTATGTAATTGGAAAATAGAATAATCTGCTAATGGAAATATATTCATACATAAATACTCGATCGGTTAACTCGATATCACGTTTGAGAGATTTCGATGTTCTCAATTTCAAATAATAGGCTTACGAGAATGAAATAATTTCATTAAATTGGCGAGCAAGCACAAATGAAATTCAGATAGAGGTATTACGTTGAGAGAAATATAACTGCGACACTGTATTACATTTACGAGTCTCTTCAGGACGCGTCTCCAGAAAATATACTAAGAATTTAAAATTCACCGTATTCGCTCGTTAATCTCACTTTTTGCACGGATCTTATATTTGCATATAAAACAGAGTGTATAATATGAAGATATAATGATATTTGTTAAAACGCACGAGTGAAATTTCGTCAGCATCAAAATTTAAAAACCAGTTATTTTTATTACAATGTAATATCGCCTTTCTAGCACATTTATAATTTAATTTGTAATAAAATAAAAGCAGCCATTCTTTTCTCCTCATTTTAATAGTCGTTACACCTTTGCGGACAGCAGAATATCTAACAATATACGAAGTACGTATAAGAATATAGTACGAAAAGTACGTAATATTGCGAAAGAAAAACGATCAGACTAATCTCTGTCGGAGTAATCTGATTTTCATCGGCAGGTAATGGGGTTTCAAACGAGATTAGAGACAAGTCTTCAGGCTGAGCGCGTTCAAATCGTTATCTACGTCGTTATTACGCAGACGAGATGGATTGCGAAAAGTTATAAAGTCTATATATCTTCCAATCGTACAAATGTTAGAGATCTGTATCTGTTTTCATTGAACAAATACAAATGTCGAATACAGAAGGAATCAACATCTTTTACAATTAATGAAAGCCAATGGGGGTTATAAGTAAATGTCCAAAGGCATTTATCGTCCTTTGTCGCAGTCGAAAGATCCATTAAGACATAATATAGTTATATGATAGTATCGCACGCCCTAGTAACGCTGTTAGCTTCAAACTCTGTTATAAAGGCGCACGAAATGTTTCGAAGCGCGGCGGACGCTATAAAGTTTTTCTTTTTCACATTCCGCCCCTTAACGAAGAGAGTTCGAAAATACTATATAACACGAATCTTATTATTTTGTTACGCTACTCTTTTATTGTTTCGATTCAAAATTACGAGATTTCGCGAACGCGGAATTGTCGTCTCTTGTCGGAGAAGTGGGTGGCTCATTTAGTGAAACACATACGTTCGTTCCCTAACTCAAAAACTTTGTCGCGTAATCTGTTTAATGCTAGTGCAATGTAGGAGTGACGACGGTACGAGAATCGCAAAAGGTAGTGTAACGAGCTCGCTAACTATTCACTCAGGTAATGAAATTGTTGACCTCGCTTAAATGTTTTAAATGTATATCATAACTTGATAAAACATTGGTACAAGGTTTTAACAAGGCGACTGCAATTTATTATATATATAATTAAATACTTAGCAATACTTATATACATACATACATACATATATATATATATATATATATTATATATATATAATGTAATTTTAATAGCCAGCAGTGTATAAATTATAAAAATAAAAATAACCTATAAATATAAAATTAATAAATATTAGAATTATATGTAAAAATAATCAGAGCAGAGTTTTATTAAATTCCCATTAAATATCTAGATTAGACAAACGTATATAAAATATCTGTAAGCTCAACATACACTGTATGTCATATTTTAAATGAAGTATATGTACATATGAATCAATGACAGGGAACAAAATGAATGATAAATGATTGAGAAATATTAACAAAAACGACGGCATGAAAAAAGAATAATACTATAATATAGGATAGTATAATAAAATAATATATAACGTAAAATAACATCATAATATTTATCGAAATATATTTTTATAAATATATTTGTATTTGCATACATCATACATATCTATTAACTTACGTTGAAATTTATTATTTTTTCTCTTTAAATCTGAGTAAAAATTTATCATTATAAAAACTTTCCTTAGTCGTCTCACTTTGTAAAAATAAACGTAAGATTATTTAAAAATATATATACGTATTGTACGAAAGTTTTAGCTTTCTAATTTGTGTTACAAAATATTATATATAATAATATATATAATATATATAATATGGAAATTTAATAGGTGTGTATGAAAATTTGATAATATATTATATCATAAAAATATCGTATATAGATACTCATTTTGTAGATTTTATTCTTTATTTCATCTTCTTTCACATAATTCCAGTTTAATTGTGCTATTAATCATCATTTTAGTTGTGTTATTAATCATTATCAACATCGTTTTTTCCTCTTTGTTTCCTTTTTTTTCTATCTTATAAATCACGTTAAATTTATGTGGCATATTTTTAAATTGTATCATTATTTATTTCATCGGCCAGGGGTAAATCTTACTCGCAATAAAATTGGTTTTATTTTGACGTTCTAGCGACAAGTGAAGGGTGGGACCAATATCTCCCTACCGTCTTGTCAGTTGGCATAAAAGCAAAAGATATGAAATCTTGTACAAGGGTAGATATTCGTCGAACCTGACCTACCGTAAATTGTAATCATACGTCCTACGTACGTTTCGATGAAGAGTAGACGGGTGACTCAATTCAAACAGGAAAATAGCGAATGATGCGTTATAGAATCGATATAGATCCGATATATTCCTATATGTCTACACCGGAAGTCAGGAATAGGATGTCTGATCAAGAAATAAGGTGTGTCCGATCAAGAAATATCTCGAATGTCTGGTGATGTCGGCAATAACGAGATCAGGAAATTGGGAATAAGGTCGATACGATTTTGAATAAGGTCATATATAACGAGAACTTTATTATTACTGTAAATTTAGTTATTTAAAAATTATTTAATTATTACAAATTTAAAATTTAAAATTCAGATATCAAATCTGAAATTTTATATTGGAAAGCAACTTTTGATAAAAATGTAATAAATATATTGTACACAAAGAAGATTTGCTATTTCTGTTATCCCGAATCCCTCGAGGAATTTCTTTAAAATTATATGTGAAAGTTTAATATTGACTTTTGGAACATCTGCTTGTATTGAGAACTATGATAAGACATAAACTAAAATAATACGATTAAATATTTAATACAATACATAATATATAAGTATACATTTATATAATTGCAGATAAGATTACATCTATATTAACATTACAATTTTTTTGTCTTTTGTGTGATCATAGAGAATTTTTTCTAATTTATCATAGAGATTGATACATATATTTTTATTAAGATTATTATTTTCTATATATTTCAATTACACGATAAAGTCGCTGGAGAACATTACTGGAGTTAATCGAATAAGTAAAAGAAGAAAATACTAAGGAACCGCATAAGAAAAGATTAGAAGGAAGTAAAGATCTAGATCTCTATAAGTAACGTTCAGAATTCCATTCTCTTTAACGATTGTGAAAAAGCATTTAACCGATATTACTCTTAAATGATCACGGATTAAGGGTTTAGAAAAAAATTCCCTCCATTTTATATCTCAGTCAAAAGTTTGAGACATATTACTAACTGCATTTTTATATTTATTAATTGTATTATAAATGCATTTTTGCATTTATATATGTTATAATTTGTTTCATTCTTGATTGATTTTTTAAATATAAGATTTGATTTTATAATTAACTGTAAATTGTTTTTATACTAAAAAATTATTGATTAATCTTATCAGTTGAGTTGAAAGTAAATGTAATTTAATATTTAATGTAGAAATACTTTTTGACAAATCAATATATTCTGATTTTGGAACTTTTCAATTTCGGTCCATGTCAAATTCCGAAGGGACATACGCTGTACAGAGAGTAGTTAGATCCGACATAAGACCGAGATTAAATTTGAGTTTACAATTCGTCAAAGTGAAAAGTTAATCAATATATAACCATGACTTACGTATTAAAACAGTTTTACTTGTCAATTTCGTATGATGAATACTGTTTTGCGAACTGGTTGAGACATCTGTTTTAAAATTTAAATCATTTGACTCAGTATTGAATTATTTCAAATCGATAGGCGAAAGTTTGCCAGCAGCACATAGGAATTTATTCCATCTTTTTCTTTATTTTATCATAATTTATAGATCGGAATATATCGGATAATTTACATCGGAATATATATTTTTTTACTATTTTAACTGAATCATTATTTATTAGAAATAAAATAAGCTGCCTTATAGTCCCTATTAGTCATATATACAGTATTAATCCGTGGTTCTTGAATTATTTCAATATTAAGAAAATAACAAGAGGAAGTTGTTGCAGAAAACATTCACGAAAACGACACTGAACTTTAGCGATTATCCTCCCCCAAGTTTTATCATTGTTCGCATCAAAAGACTAAAAATATTGAGCTTCTTCAACGTTATAGCGAGATCATGCCAGCAGAGATTTCAAGTGAAGAGCACATTTTCTCACAAGCTGCGTGTATTAAACTATAGGGGAAAATCTAAGAGAAACATATGGCCCTTACAAGTTTATTGATGATTTTAATTTCTCACGGAAGGGAAGCTGATATAATTAAAAAGGTGATCTCGAATATGAAGCGTAGAACGTCTTTATAACGTGCATATTTTAGAGATAAATTACATGAGAAATGTCTTGTGTTATAAATGAACGACCCAGAAAGCAATATGTGTAGGAATTTTAAAAAATTACACTTGTTTGAGATGCAATTGTTCCGTCATCAAAACTATGCAATTACAAATTAAATTATCTTTCAAGTGTAATATAACGTAATTTTAATGAATCGTTTTTATGCGTCGCGTCAAAATGTGTTACGCTCGAAATATTAATGTAATCATATGCATCTACAATACGAAAACACTGTTGCATTTATAGAGCAGTTTATAGCAACGATTAATATCGTTGATCATCGAATGTGCATTATTGTCGAAATATCTTGGATGTATTATTCGAAAAGCTTCAATAAACATATTCACTAAACGCAGAAAGGATTGCATTAAATGTTAGTTATATTTATAGCGTCATGAGACGGATAAAACGTAAGAGTTGTTAAGCTTCGAGTTGTTAACATTAGCCGCGGTCGACGCGACCGCTTTAAGGTGCGCGCGTCTGAAAAGGTGTAATAAAGCGGGTAAGCAGAATTACCGTAAAATTGTGCGGCATTCCTCTCTAGGCCACATTTCTCTCGTGCACGGTTTCATCAGAAATTGATTCCGGTGATTCCTCTCACAGGTGAAATCCCGTTTTGTGTTACTTGGTTGACTTTCGTTTCAACTCGCCGAGTACCGTTTTTAATCGTGTTACAAATTAGCATCGAGCAGGCTAACATTAGGCGTTGACATTAATCTCCCTGCTCTTCTGATTCGGAAAAGTGTCACTGAGCTCTTTATCACAGCGCGTCCAATTTATGTATCGCACGACACATCCAATTTACGCATTGAACGAGGATATCCAATCGAACTTTTGCTCTTTGATCTCACTGTGAGAATCGCTCCCTCTGATTATATCACGGCAGGAATTGTACTTCGGGATATTTATTAATTGAAATTCTCTTTGAATGTTCTTGGATATTCTTCAAGCACTTCAAACACTAAGATTTCATCCCGAGTGATTAAATTAATGTAACAACACATATGTCGACATAAGATCTTTAGATAAATATTTTATATATCTGTAAGATTTTGGCAAATACATTAACATTTCCTGCGAAATTGAGAGTTTTCACGAGTTATCTTTAATTAATTGTCTTGTTCACGAGTCGCATCGTTCAATTAATCAGATCGTAATAAAACAACTAATTGTTTCAGTCTCGGCGAAGTAATTCGTACTGCACTGACGATACTATTTTTAGAAAAGTTACTAATGCAGAATCGCAATTCCCCGCGCTCAATTTGCCAGGTAAATTAATGAAACGATGCATCATGTCCCTGGAGCCTATTCCAAACATGACGCGTATACTTTCGTCCAAATTGCTGCCTACATTTATTGCTTTTTTTTTTCTCTTTCTCGCTCAGCGAAACGAAAGAAATGCAAGCGCAGATAACGATAGCGTCCGATTTTTTTCGATAAATTGCTCGCTTTTTCGAAAAGCTCCTTGGGGATACTCGCGTAGATAGCAGCTATCTCAGTGTATCGTTCTGTCGATCGGAGTCGATGCGCGTTACGAAAGAGCAACCGCGTCGCGTGGTGGCGGTTCGCGCACTGTTACCCCGTGATATTCGCCAACCCTCGTCTACCAGGAGGAGTTTTAGAACGACAGTATCGGCAATGCGCAGCCGCTCGTGCTTCCAGCCTCTAACGTTCGGATACGCGAGAGGAAACCCCCGACTCAGCTTCTCCGTGCAGCAGAGGAGATATGTGTAAATCCTTGATCCTCCTTTCTCAATCTCGTTCGCGAAACTCCGGTTCCGATGCACGAATATTATGACATGGACATTCGGTACTGTATGCTTGACGCTTCTCGTATGAAAAAGTTACTTGAAAGTTGACCGCGATGAATTTTTCCTACGTCCTCTCCACGAAGCTTTTTCGAGATTGGAAATTGCACTTCTGCGAGCGAGCCTATATTCTCTGGGGGAAGGATAAATAATTGATGTGATTAATTATAGATTGTAAATGGTATTTTATATGTATAGGCCGTAATAAATTTAATAATTTAATATATTCAATGTTTGTATATTAATCGTACAATATTACAGCTGCCTATAATAACAATTATTTATTCAGAACTCACATTTGTTATATATGACAGTATACATCAGGAACCACATTAAAACTTGGATCTTTTATCATCCTCTTTAATTAATAAGCCAAATTCTTAATCAATGCAAAGAGCAAGTAAAATTAATTAAATTATATTGGGCAGTTATGTACATTGATATCATTTATTATTCTCGATAAAACCTTTCCCAATATCTTCATGCTCAAAGTTAAAGCTACTTCCCAAACGTCTCGATGGAACTCTCCAATTACCACGGCCATCTTAAAAGCTTTTCCTCTTAATCTCATGGTGATTAAGTCCGTTCCGGTACAATTATCCCAGTAATGAGAAATGACCTCCACAAAATTTTCAAATAGCAGTACGAAATGGCTTAGAATTAGTTGCGGTGGATGAAAATTAATTAAGAAAATACTCAACCTCGTTTTCCGACTTTTCCATGCTCGTCTATGACAATAAAATATGTCAATCGCCATTCTACATACGCGGTTTTAACGATAGTTTATGTATTCGTTATATGACTGCGAGCTCCATAAACCTCGTTCGGAGTTTGAAGGACGATAAGAATGCAGCGATGTTTCACGTTGCAAGTTTCACCCTCACTTCATTCTTCGAATAATTTACTCGTAAGTAAAGAGCCATGAGGCTTCTCTGCCAGGGATGCATTCATCTAATCCCTCAGAAATGAGCCGTGGGAGTTAGATTGTTCCTCCATTTCACTCACAGCCATACTTTCCATAACTGAAGTTTTCAATTGACTCCGAGCGACAAACAACGGACTTTTCGTTGATTGTCCTTGAGCAGTTTGCTGCAATCAACGCGGATGCAGTTTCTATTTAACGAGCAAACGAAACCACCGGTGCCTAGAGGATTGTTATAAAGGATTTTGACTTTTTAAATGTTCTAATTCAAATTAGTTAAAATTTCTTTAATTTCTAAACAATTAAATTTTTTAATATTATACATTTTTTAATAAGTAAATTACTTCTTTAATTTCTATAAATAATTTCTTAAATAATTGAAAAAATATTCATATTTTTGTCAAAAAATGTCAAACTATAAATATAAATATATCAACAATTCTAGTAATTTAACTCGGAAATTATAAGAGAGAAGATTTTAAATATAATTAAAATTTCTCATAAAATTTTAAAATAGGAACTCCAAAAAGAGATGCAGAAATAGATAAAATGTTTTTTTTCAAAAATTAAAAAATTTTATAATGTAAATGACTAATAGAGCTGTAATACAACAATAATTTGACAACAACTCCTTGCGATCCAAAATTCAAATTGAAATTTTCTGGATACAAAGCTTGTTCTTGTTTCAAAATGTAAAGCATAATTGTGTATGCAAATTAAGACGAAGCTAGGAACTTGTCAGAATAAATAACTATCTTGACGAGGAACGCAATTCGCGCATATATTTCGCGTTATTGTCGAAAGAAATAATACTTTCTTATCTGCATGGTAAAAACATATAAGCATATTATCAGTAGCGTTGCACGCGCTTAATACCTACTAATAAGATTATGAGAGTCGCAGTCAACCGTCAGATCAATATAATGCGCTGAATGAGTAATAATTAAAAAGTGAATAGCTTATAATAGCTAGCATGAACCAAATAGTGCCTTTATTCGTGTTATTTATTTTTCTTAAATATGTATTATACAATTTTTGAAAATTTATTTAATTTCCAAAATGAAATACGAGTAATTAGAGAAAGTTCGGCAAATAGAATTTTTTCCTAGGTAACCATTATTAAGACTAATGCGATATTTTTCATTCAAAGTTAATTACCAGATTAAAAGTAATCTTTGAGACTTTTTTTGTAAATATTACATTTATCCGCAATGATTAATAGCCTTTAAACTACACCCCGCGATAAATATATATATATATATATATATATATATATATATATATATATTGCTTTCAGATCATCCAGAGATTTCGTTAAGATTTCATTAAGACTTGATGGAATTGATTTTTCACTACATTTATAATCTATCTTCGATTAGAGGCAATACTCAGCATCTGATATTTGCTTTTTTCGTTAATTTAATCTGCTGACAAGCCAGCAGATAAAATATGTCAAGTGCAATTATATGCCGACAAATTCCATGGGTCCCTGTCTTTTCTTGTCCTTGAATTCTCTACTTCGCCAAGAGAGATCGATCGACTTTAACATTTCTGTTTTGCTCTTGACTGACCATTTAAAGCGATTACGTCGGCTCTTTTCGAAAGGCAAGACAAGGATAACGGGAGACAGCCGGTTCATCGGATAATACCCTTTGTGTCGCTTCTGAACTTGCAGGAGTTCAATTTGCTGGACATGCTTCCGGCGATCATATAGATAGCCCTGGCACGTGTGTCTCGATTGATCCTTATACACCGAACGACGATGAGGCGATTATTAACGCCATCGGATGGCACAAAATAAATCAAATTATTCAACAGTCATTTAGCCGCGAGTTGGAAATATCTCAGACCAAATGTAATATTTACATTGTTTGTTCTTTTGAATTTTATTTTTTAATTAAGCAATTATTTATGACACGTTTTAATATGTAATTTCAATACTTGGAAAAATAGATCAATAATGTAACATGAAAGGAGATTTGAGTTTTGATAAATATATAAATAATTATAAATATAATTTAACATAAAGCAAATAATATATAATAAATATAAAAAGGTAATTTTATTACATTTCGTGATATAAGAATTCATGAGCTTCACATTCCATTTTTTTGTAAAATTTTTAATTGTAACTTCTTCATTTTGGAGCACAAAAATAAAAAGCAGAGTTAATAAATTTGGCTTCTGAGAAGTTTATATATGTTATTGTTATTTTATATTTTAATGCTATAAAGGTTTTAATCTTCTTTTAAGAACTAAAAGTTTCATTAGCGAGCAAGAAATATCGATACAATATGTTGACAGAATCGATGCAATACATTAGCAAGATTACAAAATAATAGCACACTATTCGAATTCACTGTATGTGGTTAAAGTTAGCTCGGACTACCAGATTGCATCGAATCCCAATAGTGAAATTCGCTAAACAATATATACTATTCAGTAAGCTAGAGGTGCTAAGAATATTATTCCCTACAATGTTCCGGACACCTAATGCCTTTATCGATCGTTTATCTTATTGTAGACCCAACAAAACGCCGAACAGTAGGTACAGGTGCATTCATTGGATGAATTGATTATACAAGTATAGATATATGTCAAATGTATTTGCTATCTGTTCTATTTGGTACATATATTAAAATATTTGTATAACATATATATTAAAATATATTTTATATATTCGATGTGCTTGAAATAATATCGTAATAAAAAAATAAGAAAATATATATTAGTATGTGTTTTTTATGAATTAATTGATTTTAATTATAAATATGAAATTGAACGATAATTAAACTCTTAATATTGTTCTATCTTCAACGATATAATATTTCTGCAAGAGGCGATAATCGTAAATCTCGAAAGATATATTTTCGAGTTATCCAGTTGTTGAACACGAAAGTCAAATAGAAGAACTCGCCGCACTACTTTGGTGGTCTCTTTTACATTTTACACTTTTATAAATTTAATACGAATAAAACGTTCCCTTGAAAATGAAGAGCAATGTCTACTTGGTACTTCATAAAAAGTCGACATTCGAAATAAAACGTTTTCCCTTTGCTTTCTTCATTAATTTTTACAATTTAAATTCTGACGCGGCTTTATCAAACGCGTTCGGGAATAATCTCAACCGGCGCATAAATCACAAATGTCACAAAAGGATTTTACTAACTAATCCACTTTTATTACGGTATATCAGCGTTCATAACTAATTCGAATTTTCTACCGACACCCATATTCAAACGCTTTTGTAGTTGACGCTTATTCACGTTATAAAA